TGGGTGGGGGCTGGTGGGTCAGATCAGGGGGGGCTGGGAGCCAGGACTCCTGGGTTCTCTCCCCGGCTCGGGGAAGGGAGTGGGCAGTGGAGGGGGGCTGGGAGCCCGAACTCCTGGGTTCATGCCCGACTCTGGGGGATTCCAGGCATCGTGAAGTCGCCGCTGGCCGGGGATTTCATCTCCATGCAGTGCCGGGAGCTCTTCCAGGAGATGAACATTGAGATCGTGCCCCCCTACATGATCGCTGCCAAGGTGCGGGGTGGGGGGGTCCCTCATGGGGGGGCAGGAAGGGACCCGGGGAGCGGCCAGGCTGGGGGAAAACAGGAATCCAGGAAGTGGGAGAGATGAGGTGGAGGAAGGGGGTTGATGGGGGTGAGGGGCTGGGGGGATCTGGGGGGGCTGGGAGGGGAATGGTTCACGGCTCCCCCCTGCCCCATCTTTCTCCCCCCCCCAGGACCCTGTGCGTGAGGGGGCCCCCCCCAACTGGAAGAAGAAGGAGAAGCTGCCCCAGGTCTCCAAATCCTGGCACAACTACACCTGCAATGTGAGCTGGGAGGGGGCCGGACGCCTGGGTTCTCTCCCCAGCTCTGGGAGGGGAGTGGGGGCTGGTGGGTTAGAGCCGGGAGGGCTGGGTTCTCTCCCCCAGTCGGTGACCCCCACATACTCTCCCGCCCCCCGCAGGAGGTGATCCAGGATTTCCAGGCCTCGGTGCTACAGGTCTCCGACTCGCCATATGATGAGCAGTGAGTGCTGGGGGGGGGGGCACCGAGGGGAGGAGGAAGGGGGGGCCCTGGGACTTGGCCACAGGGGGGGCTGGGCACTTAGCTTGGGGGGTGGGGTCTGTCGGGATGGGGTAGTCGGGGGAAGGTGCGGGGCACTGCCCCCTCTCTGCCCCCTCCCCACAGGGTGGCCGCCCAGATGCCCACCGTGCACTACGAGATGCCCAATGGCTACAACACGGACTACGGGGCCGAGCGGCTGCGCATTCCCGAAGGGCTGTTTGACCCCTCCAATGTCAAGGTGAGCCCCCCCCAGAGCCGGGGAGAGAACCCAGGAGTCCTGGCTCCCAGCCCCCCTGCTCTAATCTACCAGCCCCCACTCCCCTCCCAGAGCCGGGGAGAGAACCCAGGAGTCCTGGCTCCCAGTCCCCCCCCCCCCGGGCTCTACCCACTAGACCCCACTAAGTCAAAGGCAAGTTACTCACTCGTCGGCCATCAGGAGCAGGTGGGTTTCACTACGAACAGCTGGGAGGAGAAGATGGAAAAATATGGTTTGCTCTGCACAGGGTCTGGGTCCGGGCTCAGGGGGGCGGGGAAAGGGGCGCGGGGGGCCTGGGCAGGACCCTGCCCTGAGGCCCCTTATCTCCCCCAGCCCCGGCTCCTTTCCCCTATTTGGGGCGGGAGCCGCTGGGGCTGATAAGTCCCTAAGTGGCTGCTGCTAAATATAAATCCCCTTATCGGGGGGAGGGGGTCCCGGCCCGAAGCCCTCGCCAGCTCGGGGGGCTGGGGGGATGGGATGGAATGGGACCCCCCCCGAGTCTGGGGGGCAGAGGGGGAGCGCTGGAAGATCCAGCCGGCCCCTGGAGATGCTGCGATGGGGGAAGTTTGGGGGGGCAGCGGTGGGATGGGGGCCCCCACGCTCATGTGGGTTGAAAACATCCCCCTGCAGCCAGTCTCCCCCTCGCCAGAGTTGGGGGGAATGGTGCCCTCCCGTCCTTCCCCCCAGGGGTCCGTGGGGGGCAGGGGGTCCCCTCCCATCCATCCCCCCTAGGGATCAGTGGGGGGCAGGGGGTCCCCTCCCATCCATCCCCCCAGGGGTCCGTGGGGAGCAGGGGCTCCCCT